ACTCACTTTTTTGCTAAAACTTACTTATTTTGCAAGAGTTTGCTTAAGCAACAAATCGACATTTAAATTCGTGTTTTTCACGAATTTTCAATCATGAAAAAATATTAAGAAATGATGTGGAAATAACTCATTTTTCCTGATCCTTGAGTTATTATCCTTAATATAATGAAAATTATATTTCAAGTCTCTTAATTTTTTTCTTGGAGTGACATTTATTTCAATGACTGGTTGACGTTTGGTGGTTTATTTCTGGGACATTCTAAGAATTAAATCTATATAACAAGCAATAAAAAATGAACTAGAAAAAAAAGAAAAAGAAATTGAAACAAAAAAATTGAATTCAATAAAAATTAGGAGTTTCTTTTTATATTGAAAAAATTACACTTGGAAAAAATAAAAGAATTTGCACAACCTGCACAAATTTTGTTTAATTTGAATCATGTAAATTAATTGTGTTGTTTTTTACATAAATTGGTCACAAAATCAATCATTTTTGATTGAAATTGACGTTTTTTGTGCGCTTTAGAACTTTTCACCTCGAAACACTTGTTTTTGCGAAATTGATATTTGTGTCTTTTTTTAACGTTTGGGCGAATTTTTGAACACTTTTCCTTAAAAATCATCAATTTTGGTTCAAAATGACGTACTTAACGACTGTTGTACCGGTTTTTTGCGATTAAGTAATAAAAATTCAATTTTTTGATTTGGTATTGGATCAAATCGTGTATTTAGATTAATATCATGGGATTTAAGAAATTTGTTGTGACTAATTTTTACGGTTGTGAATTTTTTATTGTTGTTTGTAATTTTATCTGGAGGTAGAGGAAAAATCTGCAATTTTCGATTTATTTTTCTTTATAAATGTCGATTCACACTTTATACTCACTTAACAGACACTATATATTTTAAGCTAATAAAGACTTATTTTATGAGATTTTTTTTTAAAGTTTAAAAATCACTTTTCTGAGCAAAAAACTCACTTTTTTGCTAAAACTTACTTATTTTGCAAGAGTTTGCTTAAGCAACAAATCGACATTTAAATTCGTGTTTTTCACGAATTTTCAATCAT